TTTAAGATATGAAGAAAATTCATTTGATAATCTTTCAATCTGTCAATATATTTTATAGGCTCAGTTTTCTGCTGGTAAACCACTCTTGCATTCCTGAGATGAACCCAACTTAGTCATGAGCTATCACTTTTTAATAAACTGTTAAATTATTCCCAATCTTTTCTCTAGAATTTCAGCATGCAAATGATATTGACTTCACATTTTTTTCCACTTTCTTATATTAAAATTATGACTTTACAGCCAGGCTTGGTGGCACATGCCTGTAGTCTCAGCACTTGGAAGGCAGAGGCAGGTGGATCTCTGTGAGTTCGAGGCCAGCCTGGTCTACATAGTAAGTTACAGGACAGCTGGGGCTACAGGAAGACCCTGTCTCAATAAAAGACCAAAAAAAATTATGACTTTATTAGCAAGATTGTTAGCCTCATAGGATGATGCTGTGGCATAGCCATTTCCCCCCATTCTTAGCATGACCCTCTCCATCATGAAGCAGAAAGAGCTGAGGTCACCCTGCCCCACCATCATGGCAATGGAATAAGCAAATTGATAGAGTGATAGCTGAGTCTGTGCTGATGGTAAAGGGGTTGCTACCATTCCCTGTGGAAGGAGTTGGAAAGCCAGTGTCTATGTGGAAGGTTGACAGGGGAGAGGTCCAGTCATACAGCTTTGTGAGTCATGGCCCATGATGCAGTGAGGCCATTTGATGATGGAACAGCCTGCAAGTACCCATGTTTCTGTAACTCCTCGCCACAGTCCTGCAAGTGACCCCAGTGAACTCACTGGTTCACCAAAGAGGACGTGGATGGAATCCTTTCTTTGGGCTGTTGGTGTCCAATCTTTACACTCCCCAGGAAGAGTTATACAAAAAAAGCAGGGGACCCTTATGATCACGTCCTAAAACGTTCATTGAACTTATTTTTTAGACTGTGTGAATTTTATAATTGTTTTATTTTGTTGATTAGGTTGGGTTGGGTTGGGTTTGGGTTTGGGTTTAATTTAGTTTCGGTTTGGGTTTAATTTGGTTTGGTTTTGGTTTGATTTGGGGTTTGGTTTGGATGTTTGGTTTGGGTTGGCTTGGCTTGGGTTTCAATTTGGGTGCATTTGATTTAATTTAATTTGGTGGTTTGATCTGCATTGGTTTAAAACAGAGTCTCCCTGTGTATTCCGACGTGGCTGCAGATTTGTGCCCTCCTGCCTCAGCCTCCCAAGTCTTGAGATCATAAGCACGAACCACCATGCCCAACTTTGCCTTATACATTTTTCAATCTTTTTTTAGAGATTTATTTTTATCTTATCTGTATGAGTGCATTGACTGCATATAAGTTCACCACATGCATGCAGCGCCCATGAAAGTCAGAAAAAGGTGTCAGATCCTCTGGAACTGAATTACAACTCTTGTGAGCCACCATGTGGAATCAAACCTGGGTATTCTGCAAGAGCAGCAAATTCTCTTAAATGTTGAGCCATCTTTCCAGCCCCATCTTCTGCACTTTTTATTTAACTAATATAATCAGAGCATTCTCTGTTTTATTAGACTTAAATTTTTTTAAAAAAACAGGGATTGGAAAAATGACTCAGCAGTTAAGAGCACTGGCTGCTTTTGCAGAGGACCCAGCTTCGGTACCCAGCACCCACATGGCAAACAACCATCCATAACCCCATTTCCAGGAGATATGACACCCTCTTCTGGCCTCTTCAACCATTGCATGACATATGTGCATTTACATACGTGCAGGCAAACTACTCACATAAAATAAAAATAAATCATTTTTAAAAACCTTTTTTGGCCTCTCTGGATCTTCTCTGTTATTTCCCCTAATTCATTGGTTTACATTCTGATGCTTATTATTTCCCATGGATTAATTCTGGTTTTGAAATTTCTTGGTTGGATATTTGCACACTCATTTTCAAACTTACTTTCTAATATAATGATTCAGACCTTGTTCTAGTTTGTTTCTCCATTGCTGTGACAAAACATTCTGACCAATGCCAACTTGGGGAGGAAAGGGTTTATTTATCTTACATCTCCCAAGTCACAGTTCATCAGGGAGCCAAGATAGGAACTCGGGGCAGGAACCTGGAGGCAGGAGCTGGAGCACAAGCTATGGAGGAATGCTGCTTACTCGCTTGCTCCCTGGCCCATGCTCAGCCTGCTTTCTTATGCAACACAGGCCCACCTGCCCAGGGGCTGAGCCCTCCCACATCACTCAACAATCAAGAAGATGCCCCACAGACATGGCCACAGGCCAGTCAAATGGAGGCAAGTCCCCAATTGAGGCTCCCTCAACCCAGGTATGTCAAGTTGACACTAAAGCTATCCAGCACAGACTTATAAATTTTTATTTCTGGATATCCACAATTTTGAGTTTGACATCTAGAATTTCAGTTTCATTCCATTCCGAATATTGCTGAATTTCTACTGTGACTCCTTTAACCGAGGTTGTTAAATGAGACCGCGTGACATGAAACACCCAGTAATTGTTTAAATTCATCCTTTCTCGCCATCTTAAGGCTTGGGATGGTATCAGTTCACACATGGAACTCCATTTACAGCTTTCTCCCTGTGAGATGTCCGCACACTTGTCAGCCCCAGGCTTCCTTTCCACGGCCCTTCTTACTCTAAGAACACGATTTTGCTTCACAGTTTTTACACCTGAGCTCTTGATTCGTCCCAAGAAACTGGGGAGAAATGTGGAGGGAAGAGGGAAGAACATAACCCCAAACTGTTTAAAATATTTTATTATTTTATTTTATGGGTATGAGCATATCGTTCACATGGGTGTAAGTGCACCTTTGTCATGCAATGCCCACAGAGATCAGAAGAAGGCGTCGGATCCCCTGGAACTGGAGTTACAGACACTTGTTAGCCACCATGTGGGTGCTGGGACTCAAACCCAGGTCCTCTGCAAGAGCAGCCAGTGCTCTTAACTGCTGAGCCATCTCTCCAGCCCCCATAACCCAAACTTTGATCCAGATCCTCCTGCTCCCAGTGCTCTGACAAAGACAGATTTTTCTTTCTTTTCTGAAGAAAAGAAAAATGATCAATTTACCTGAAGAAAACTACTTAATAACTTACTGGCAGAAAAACATATAACATGCTTTCTTTACTTCTTTTAAAATGAATTCAGATGCCAGAAAATAAATTTTTAAAATATGAGCATCCAAGAGCAAATATTTAAATTTCACTGAATTTTAATTCATGAAATAAACACTCATGAAAATGGAACTATGAAAAGTCATTTTGCTATTGCTAAGAAACTCCATCGACGTATTCATCTGCCAGGGCTGCTAGAGCTTAAAACTCAAGTATTTGCTTTTTCACAACTCCAGGTGCTAAAAGTCTGAGTACAGGGTGTTGCAGGTGTCCTGGGGTTCTCCGGGTGGGTGTAGAGTCCGCGGGGAGTCACGACACAGACACCGGGAGTCAGGTTAGAAGCAGGCAGTGCAAGCAACTGCAGACTCATTTATTGCGGATATGGGGCTCCCTTATATCCCCCTTCCCGGTGTCCCATTGGCCCCAGTAGGCTTTCTCGGATCGTGTCTGATCCTCATTGGCCCTCTCGGTCGAGCCATCTTGCAGTCAGCCATCTCCATGTCCTTTGGCAGAATACAGGTTAGACTCAGCCGGATGTTTCTGGCGCACTTGCAGCGCCATTGCTCAGCTTGTTCAGGCCTTTCTTCCTCCTACAACAGGGTATGGAAAAGTTGGTTTCTTGTGAGGTCTCTCCTCGGTGTACCGATGGCTGTCTCTTCCCTGTGTCTGGGTCTTATTTCTCTTCTTACAGGAACAACAGTCATACTGGGTGAGGGTCCACCTTGTGACCTCAGCTCAAAATTCACTCTAAAATACTGTAGAGTTAATATTTCAGCATCAGAACTTTAAGGGGCTATAACTTAACCCTAATTAGTATATTTAGGCCCATAGCAATACAACTTCCATAGACCAACTCATGACAGTCCTCCACAAACAGCCACACCACACACTTTGTCTTACAGGCTACATAAACTGTGGTGTGCTATGTAATGAAATAATATTATTGCCATAAAATGTAGTAATCATAAAACTATACTGTGGAGAAGCTTTTTCATATCCCTTCACAGTTCCCTTCACCAGCATCTATTTCTTCATGCGGATTTAAGTTATTGTCCAGAGTCCTTTCTTTTTTTTAATATTTGTATTTATTATTTTTATTTTATGTGTATGAGTGTATTGGCTGCATGTATGTGAGTGCACCCGTGTCATGCAGTGCTGCAGAGGTCAGTAGAGGGGGTCAGATTCCCCTGGAACTGGAGTTAAGGATGGTTTGGAACTGCCATGTGGGTGCTGGGAACCAAACCTGGGTCCTCTGCAAGAGCAGTCAGTGCTCTTAACCACTGAGCCATCTCTCCAGCCCCCCAGAGTCCTTTCATTTTCTGAAGGACTCCCTTTATTTTTCCACACAGTTCAGGATTGCTGACAGTGACCTCTCTCCATTTCTGTTCACTGAAGGTCTTCGTTTCTCCTTCATGTTGTGAAGGCTAGTTTAGCTGAGTATAGCGATCCTGGTTGACAATCTTTTTCATTTAGTGCTTTGAAAAATGTCTTCTCGCTGCTTCTCAGCTTCCATAAATGTTGTGTTCTGTTTTTTAATTTTTAAATGTAGTTTTATTTATCACTGTCTATGTGAGTGTAGGAATCATACATGTGTGCATGTGTATGTGTGTGCCACTGCAAATGTGTAGGGGTTAGAAGACAACTTCACGGAATCACTTCTGTCCTTCCACCTGCACATGAATTCCACAGATCAAAGTCGGTTTGCCAGTTTCTGGGAATCCTGGAATCTCATTGCAAATAAGCCTACGTCCACAAGGTGAATGGCCACTCCATAGTTGTCACCCACCTATTCAGGTCACAGTGCAGCATAAACAGCCATCTGTAACAGCCATGCTCAGGTCCCCAAGTCTCGCTGGCCTTGGGAAGCCCATGCTCACATATCCTAAGGCCCCTGTTCTCTTCTCCACAGGAATGACATGCCAAGCTCGAAGCTCCTACATCACCAGTGAGATCCTGTGGGGCTACCGGTTTACACCCGTCCTGACACTGGAGGACGGGTTTTATGAAGTTGACTACAACAGCTTTCATGAGACCTACGAGACCAGCACCCCATCCCTTAGTGCCAAAGAGCTGGCTGAGCTGGCTAACAGGGCGGAGCTGCCCCTGAGTTGGTCTGTGTCCAGCAAACTGAACCAACATGCAGAACTGGAGACAGAGGAGGAAGAGAAGAACGCGGACGAGCAAACGGAGAGGAATGGTGATGTGGCAAACCTAGAGAACGAATCCAAAGTGTAGGCGCCCCTGGCCACCCCTTCCCTCCCACCCGCCATGGCCCTTCCTTGTCTTCATTCCCTCCTTTTCTGTCTCTTCCTTTGCTCTTGATTTCTTTATATTTAATTTTGGCATTACCAGAAAACAAGTCATCAAGGTGTAAAATATCTACCTGCCCTCTCACAGATGCTTAGATGGACAAGTAGACATGGATTTGGCTAAGGTGCAAGGTACCCTCATTTGTGGCCCAAGCCTGGTCTCCACCCATAAATACCAACATTCAACTCCTGGAGTCTTAGATATTTTACTTGCATGTATTGTCCAATATAAATCACTCAAAAGAGGTGTCAGAAGGTTTTACCCAAATGTCACAAAGAAGGTCATCTGTTTACCAAGCAGTAAATCATACAGGCTAGCCCCTCAGTTTTATAGGACCCAGTTCATCTCCCCAGCACAGGGCAGGTGCTTGCCCACATGAACACTGAAGGAATAGGACCCAGGTGAGCTACAGACAGACCACCACTGTACATAGATATGCCTTATGGAATTATTTTCTTTTGACAATTAGTAATAAAAACCCAGCATGCACAAAAGTACTGTAGAACAGAACTTCTAAATATGTACATAGATGTATCATTCATGTAGTTTTAGATATATAACTTTAGAAATAAGAAAAAATATTCCCAGTGCAAATAGGCATTTCTTTTTTGATACCTGTGTCTTCTGATTATTTCGAGCCCCTCAACTCCTGGCCCTCTAAACACATGGCCTTTGTTCCTTGGTCCAAGACTGACAGTTGTTAGGGTACCCCTCCGTTCCCGTGTCAGTCTTTTATTGACTCTAATAAGCCATAGGTCTGGGGGCAGTCGTAAGTCCAGTAGACAGCAAGACGTTACCACCAAAACTCTGATATACTGTGACATATTTACAAAACAGGTATCTTCTGTTTAAGGAAACCAAGGGCCTCACTGAGCAGCCTGGGAGAGACCACCAGGAACAGGACTCTAGCACATCACCATGTGGTACTTTCTCCGTGATCTCTTGCCCTTTGGAGAACAATAATTTAGGAAACATTTCTGTAAAACCATTGATTCTCCAACTGTTCCATTCTGTAATCACATGAAACTACAGAGGTTAAATGAGCTATGGTAAGCTAGCAGAAGAGAGTTTGGGTGTAGGACCATGAAATTCAGGAAAGCGTGGAGTGGGTGAAGTGATGTGTATTGTAATCACCAACTCCTCACCCTACAGCTCCATCTGACACTCTGAGCCTGTCCCTGTGGCCTGTTCCACATCATTTCTTGCATTGGTATTTTTTTCTTATTATATCATCATCATCATCGTTGTTATTATAAAATGGCCAAAATTTGGCATGCAAAGATTAGAGAACAGTCTCTGTGACAACCTGACAAATCTCTCTAAAGTGTACCACCTTTAAAAATCAAATCCAAAGGTACCAGTTTTCTCCATTTAAATC